AGCGCGAGCTCCTCCCTCCCCTTCCCCCAGCCGCACGCGCCGCCGCCTCCAACACCGCCCGAGCGGGACCCGCAGCCGCTTAAGGAGGCGCTGTTGCCTCCCGTAGCCTCCCTACACTTGGCGACTTAAGGTGGAGCAGGAGAATTCTCGTGCTTCCTTAGCGGCCGCTCGGAGGGAAAAGGCGCTCTCAGGCCGCCTCCGTCAAAAGTCAGTCCCAATCCTACGAGAGAGGTCCAAGTCTGTTCTATTTATAGCAGCAGGAGTTTGCACCATGTCTTCCAGCAGGCAAGCAGAAGGGAAGTTTTCCTCCTAGCCGTTATTCTGCAGTGCTTTGCTTTCTCGTCCCACGCCCTTCTTCGTTAGTCCAAATAACAAATCACAAATCTATCCCCCGCCTCCTACACGACGAACCGATTCGGCAGCCCTGATGTCGTCTTACTGTCATAGTTACTTCCTATTCCACGGAAGTTTCTGTTCTGTTCGGTGATGCACAAAAGAGACCACCGCTGGATGGAATGGGATTTAATTTGGAGCAAATAGACAAAGAATGGACATATAGCTCTGATCAGTTGACACGGGGAACTGGCTATCTTTTACAGAAAGATCTGCTGCCTTAAGTTTGCACTTTCTCCTCTGGTGAATGTGGCCTTCATTTTCGAGACCTGAAGCACATTTTCTATGTTGCATTTTGATTACTTTTCTTAGGGCCAAGGCCCAGATGCCTGGTGTGAGGAGGTAACAAAATAAAAGCTGCAACTTGTTTCTAATATGATCACGAAAGGGAAGGTTTCTGTAAAAAGGAGGATTTTACTGCAATGTTGAATTCCATATTCTGCTCCTATCTTCTTGGAAAGTATGTGTTCACCCAGCACCCGTTATTAATTTAACCATGGCTTACTGAATTAACAGAGATTTTTGGCTTTGCATCATATACTGAAGCATAAACTAATCACATTGGCTGGGAATCATACAACATATTAACCTTAAATATGGCTGGCTAGTTTGTGATTCAGTGTACTGTGTGAACACAACCAAAGAGTAGGGGTTCAGTGTATCAGGGAAGTGAAACTATACTTTATAAAGCCAGTATAGCTGCTGCGTCTGTCAAATACAAATCTGTTCCACTGACCATCATAACACCTTCAGATAAGGAACCTATAAATAATTGATGACTGAAACAAGAGCAAGATATTGATAGATCTGAATTCAAACTTACATCATACTGGCCACAGAAAGTTGAATACCCAACAATTTGGCATATCAGGTTGGATACACAAGAGCAATTGAGGCTTTCATGTATTAACTCTGTATTCAAATCTGTACTTCTTTGTAGCTAGCAATTTTTGTTCCACAGACATTTGTCAGAGGCAGAACTGCTGTTTCCTTCCCATCAAATTATATAGTATCTAACACTGATCAAGTTATGTTAGCAGTTGGGGGAGAGAAGGGAAATCCACAAGTACCTCTCCTTAGGATTTGAATATAATTAAAAGACTATATAAAAATTGTTATTTCAACTCAGTTGTTCAAAGTTTGCTATTTCATGTGGTACAACTGGCCCATCTCCATTTTAAGTTTAGCATATCAAGTATTGCTTGCATACTGAATATAAAGACTCGGGATCATTACTTAGATATCCTCCAGATGGGTTGGGCTACAGCTCCGGCCCTGAACTAGAATTTGCAGGCAGCTTTCTAACATGACCAAGATTCAGCATGCAGCTGAAAACTGAGTAAACTTGGAATTCAGTCAGGACTGCAGATCCAAGTCCACCAACCTACAAGTCCTTGTTTAGCGACTGTCTTGTTTAGTGACCATTCACAGTTACAACAGTGATGAAAAAGTAACTTTGCAACCAATCCTTGCATTTACAACCTTCACAGGTCTGTAAAGCAAAGCTGAGGA